TCTTATTATGTCTTTTCTAACCGATCTTCCTGATTATTATACTTAGTAATTTGTATTAATTTAACCTTTGACCACAAATAATTCTGGAAACTTCTCACACATTTCCTATAAATACATTAATATGCAGCTACCTAGTTGATGACTTTGTTCCGAAGAAAATTGTCGTCGGTGAAACCGTTTTATTAGGAATACGTAATCTATGAAAGGAAAAGTGTTCACCGAAGAGTTGCTATTTTCAGCGATGTCATTCTCAAGCTGTGCAATCGCATGTATATACGTAATGTAAACATCGATAGTCGGTTAAGAGCTTAAATAAAATAAGTATGTTTCTCTACGAAACCAGTGATTCACATGAAGTTGAAGGACGAGCTACTACCTCTGACCTCATCAATGTGCATCTATCAATTCATCTGCTAGTGTAGAGCTAGGTATGTTGGCTGTACCCAGTGTTTCCTATCCAAGCGTATCACCGAACACCTACCTTCATGGTTTTATAAAGGAAGAAAAGGATCCCCCCTCTACAGTCCTGTTCTAGAGCGCCTGATCGAATCTTGAGACCAAGCTAGCTAACTCACAAAGGAACTTCAAAGTTATCTACAGAATAAGTGGGAATCTTTCTAAAAGAGTACGAATCAAACTTCTTCAAACTGCAGAAGCATTGGCAATTCACATGCTAAATCCTCACCTCTGCATACAAGTGAAGTCTGTTGAGACATCAAATCTACAATGGACTTAATCTGCCCTGCCCCACTGGATACATAATTTCTGTCTTTTGTTTCTTAGTTGTATTGTTTTATTCCGCCACACCCTAATAAATTTCTACCTCTTATTACCACTGTTGTTAACTTTACTGTCGTTCAATTTCTAAGTGAGTCCTACTCATCCCTGTCAATTATATTACGTCACTCAGTTCACTCATATAATTTTATTTTAGTTCCCAGTCAATAAACGCTTTCTACATTACTTAATTTGTCATCTCAAAAAATGTACAATTCTAATGACAAATTTTTGAAAATATTCCCTTTGTTGCTGAGATAATTTACTATATACATATATATATAAGTGCGGTTATACAGCTTGAGAATGATATCTCTGAAAAGAGTAACTATTCACTGAACCTTTTTGCTTCTATAATTCGTAATCGCAATGAGGAGACAGCCATGAAATGGACCCTGACGAGAAACTTGGAGGATCTGGACTTTGTCGATGATGCATGTCTGATTTCCCACAAACTGGAAGATATGCAAGCGAAAAGCAACAAGTTGGCAGAAGAAGTATCCAGAGAAGATAGGAATTCAGGTGAACATACAGAAAACGGAGGTGGTGAAGATTCCTGGACAAGAACAACAACAACAGACAACGATCAGCATAAATGGGAGGAACCTGAACGATACAACCTCTTTCACCTACCTGGGAAGCATCATTTCAAATACAGGTGGAACTGTCAAGCATATCTAAGCAAGAATCGGAAAAGCGAGACAAGCTTTCACTACTCTTAAGTCTGTGTGGAGGTCAACAGCCCTAAGCATCAAAAGATAACATCCGGACTTTCAACTCCAATGTGAAGTCAGTGCTACTTAACAAACGGATCAGAGACTTGGCGCGTCATAAAAAGCACATCAAACAAACTACAAACGTTCATCAACAGCTGTCTTCGCTCAATACTCCGCGCATGATCAGATGGCCGGTGAGAATAGATCAGCAACAGCGATCTCTGGGAGCGAATCAACCAGGAACCGATTGTGAAACAAATAGGCAGGAAGAAATGGAGATGGATTGACTGGCCATACTCTGAGGAAACCATCAAGTGACATCACTAGACAAGCCATCGCTCGAGTGGAAACCGAATGGGAAGTGGCGAGTTGGTCGTCAGTGCGAAGGTGGGGTGACTTGGAGGAGTTGATGTGAAGAGGAGATGAAAGCATGTGGGCAGACTTGGAGCCAGGTGAAGACTGTAGCAGAGAACCGAACGCAATGGAGACGCACGGCTGAAGCCCTATGTTCCTGTAGGAATTAAAGGATACAATAATAATAATAGTTCGTAATCCATACAAAGCAACCGATATTTCATTACTTCACAAAATTCTATAATGTGCTAAAGTAAACAAGTGTAAAATATTTTGACTGTTTTTGGGTATTGTTGTATTCTCTGAGCTGGATGTGTTTGACTGTTAACATTTCATTTCAAAATAAAGTGAGCTTTATTAGAAGTTCAACATGAATGAATTAAACATCTTTCTGGCTGTTGTTGGCTTGGAATGTTTTCCCAAGCACAACATCCGCACAGTCTACATATCTCTATTTTTTAACCCGTAAACTATCAGTAGGTAAAGGAATATTTAGATAATATCAGTAGGCAATTGATTTGTTTGAAGTTCGATCACAGATTGATATCAGTTTGAGAACGTTTGAAAACCAGCAGAGAGTACTAGGCAGCTGTTTCTGCAACCTAGTTTGGGACTGATCGGCAGTACGTGTCTACAGGGGTTTGAACCAGGAACCCTTCCCAGACGTAAGACAGGCTCAAAGACCATTCATTTACTGGGACCCACCTCTATGGCCCTTGAATTCTAACCTCTACGAACTTGCCTTGTAACCAGAAAGTCGTAGGTCCGAAACCTAGTAGGTGAGTATTTCTGACGAATCTCAAGCCAGGCTGACGAAACAGCTGTTCAACATATTAGTGCTGGTTTTCAATGGCACTCTAACTGATATCAATCCATGATCTCACTTGATGCAGATTTTATTTTAATTTAGTTTTGAAACTGGTTTGCGATACCTTACATAGATCATAAGGTGTTCTTTTAATATTTAGGTAAAACTTGCGCACTGCGGTAGTAAGTAATTCCATATTAGTTTGTTTATTAGATGTATCACACAGTGAAACAGTGTTATTTACTGGATGACGTTTCAAACAAAATCGATTATTGTTCATAATCATATCATCAATTATAACCACACGACTTGGAATTACTACTGATGATTTAGATTCCTTGCAAGGAAGGAACCTCGGAAACCTTACGCAGAATTCTTAACAATGCAGGCAGGAATAAAAGTGGCTGGCATTCAAACCCACAAATTCAATTAGAAACCAGATTTGTCGGTTAAAGAATCCTGTGAAGCCTTTAAAACAAAACAATTTAGTTTACCTAATACCCTACCTGCAATTATTATCAGGTCAAATACATAGGTCTAAGTAGTAGAACAGGTGCAGTCAGACTAGCCAAGGATAAAAACCTAACAAAATCTAGATTAGTTGACCCGAATAAGATAAGAAATTTACAGAATAGTTCAGCTATAGCACTACATGCAGTCACACACAACCATACAATAGGATGGGATAGGATGACAGTTTTAAAATCTAATGTCACAGGATGGAGGTAGTAGAGATTGATAACAGAAGCTTTGTTTATCGAATCAACTGTAAATACATGTAATAGGAATGATTCAATGCCTGTCCAACCGGGCATCTGGAAAATTCCACTATCCCAAAGACGACAAATAGGAGAGAACAAAGAAAACTATAGAACTCAAGTTTCGAAGTGGTGCGATTATGATCGATGATTTGATTATCATCCTGGAGAGAATAAAGAACACACTGGATACAGAACTCCAACCAGAACAAGCTGGATTCAGGAAAGGAAAATCATATTCTGACCAAATTGCAACTCTACGCATCATCGTCGAACATAGCATGGAACGGCAATCAAATCTCTACCTCAACTTTATACACTTTGAGAAGGCCTTCGACAGCGTTGAATACGAAGTATTTTGGAAACTACTCGAGTACTACGGCGTGCCCCAAATATTCATCAACCTTATTCAACAGCTGTACGACAACGGCACATGTCAAGTGATCCACAACGGAAAACTCACCGAGGCGTTTGGAGTAAACACAAGAGTCAGACAAGGGTACTTATTATCATCAGTGATATTCTTAATTGTGATGGACTGGATTATGCGTCAGACAGTGGGAAACGAGAAGACAGGGATATCCTGAACCGACGTGAAGAACCTAGAAGTCCTGGATTTCGTGCGTGGATGACTGATGTTTGATGTCACACAAAATCGAAGACTTACAAGCGAAAACCGACAAACTGGTCGAAGAGGCTGGCAGCAAAGACAGGACTCCAGGTGAACATAAACAAGACGGAGGTTGTGAAAATAACCAACCAACAACAACAACAGCAGCGACAGCAGAAACATCCAGCGCCATTCACCGTCAACGAGAGGGATTTGAAGGAGGTTACTTCATTCACTTATCTAGGGAGCATTGTCTCAACTACAGAAGGAACGGACGAGCATATCAAATCAAGAATCGAGAAGAAGAGAAACACATTCATCAACCTGAAACCAATCTGGAAATCTTCGTCACTCAGCATGCATCAACAACAAAGTGATTCGGATTTTCAATACAAACGTCGAGTCAGTCAGTTCTTCTGTACGGATCAGAAACTTGGAAGCGGGTCACAAAGAATATTTCCAACAGCCTGTTGCAGACCTTTATCAACAACTGTCTTCACTCTCTGCTGAAGATCAGATGGCCGGAAAGAATCACCAACACGAAACTATGGGAACAAACGAAACAGGAGCCAATCGCTCAACAAATATATAGGAGAAAGTGGAGATGGATTGGACACTCGCTGAGGAGGCCGCTGGGTGACATCGCGCGTCAGGCCATAGCTTGAGTGGAACCCGAAATGGAAACGGCGAGTGGGACGTCGAAGGGTGACATGGAGGAGATCGTGTGAAGAGGGATTGAAACAGTATGGACTAACATGGATGCAAGTGAAAAGTACAGCATAAGACAGAAGCAAGTGGAGACGTGCAGTTGAAGCCCTATGTTCCACTAGAAACCCAAGGGAATAATAATAATAAAATTCAGAGTGGTAAGAGGTCAATGTCTATTCCTTCCCAACTCTCTCTCTCTTCTGTCAGTAAAAATGCATCTGAAAACATTTTAAAGAAAAAAAATGAATAGTGTTCCCTGCATAACTTACATTTTTCAATCCATCGATCAATGATTCACCTAACTCCAATGATTGAATAAGTTTTCGATTAAGTCTAAATGTAAACACTAATTCTGGTCTATATAATAATCTGAACTGTTCAGCATCAACAATTTGATTTGAATCATTATTATTGTTATTATTGTTTTTGTTGTTTTTGTTAGTCGTAGTAGTAGGTGTAGTGTACTGAGATTTGGTATTTCTCCGTCTTAATGTTCTGATTTCATTGCCCATGGTGTATTCATCCTCGTCTTTATTCACCTGTGATGATTTCGACTGCCTTGACAGAGTATTTTTGCTGGCTTTATTATTATTGTTATTATTATTCACAAGTAAATTTCTTGATTTCCTAGTTAATGAAGGTAGGTCTGAATGCCCTGTCAATGAATCGAAAATCAAATTCAATCGTGCTTGACAGTATTCATGACATCTAAAAAGAAAACAGACAGATGAATGAGTGTTTAGATGAAACAATGATGTAATAATTTATATATATACGTATTTTGAAGTGGTTGTGTTCTCTGAGCTGGATAGTTAATTTGCAAAGCTTTCATCGCCTACTAGGCGACATCTTCAGCGCATACTTCAATTTGAAGTGAGCTTTTAGATTTCTCCACGAGTTTATTAGTCATCTCTCCTGGTGACCTGGGTAATTTTTTTTGTGTTTTCACACCGTCTAGGCTACTTGTGGTATTGGTACTGACTGTTTCCTTGACTTGAACTTTGACCCTTTGTGTGTAAGGTTTCTTTCTTATCGGTTGATAAATTTTGTCTATCTCGATGTGTCTATTGATTGATGATTCACTGGAATGCCAAGCTCCTAAAAATTCTCTAGCATTCTTGTTGTTTCCTCTGTCTAATATTTGAACGTTGTCCCAGTCGAATTGATGTCCATGGTTGTCTGTATGTAGTGATATGAGGGAGTGGATATCATGTCTTTTGACGGTTAGCTAGCCGTCACACAAAGACAACCAATCACGTCCAAGGTCACCAGGAGAGATGATTGATAAACTCGTGGAGAAAAGTTCTAAAAGCTCACTTCAAGAAATTGAAGTATGCGCTGAAGATGTCGCCTAGTAGGGCGATGAAAGCTTTGCAAATATAATATCCAGCTCAGAGAACACAACCACATCAAAATCATCCACCTGAGCTACAAATCTTCTCTATCATATCTATATATACGTATGTATTATATTTTTTTCCATAGTATATTCTTTAATTAGCTTATATTCCGAGTGGATTAGAGGGCTTCAAGCTGGAGAGATGTAAGGCTTCGATAGCAGTGGTACTTATTTTTACGGATTGGAGTTAATGGCCTGAAGCACAGCCTTCCCTGTTTATCAGTCTTAATATAGGCTTAGAAAGAATTTCTGCTAGTGTGTTTGTTGGTGAGCATTCTACCACGGTACCACTGACGCACCCAGTGAGAGTATAAATAATATAAATTTAAAATTCAAAACAATGCATCCATTTTATAAATTTGGATAGTGTGATTAGAAGACGGAGATATTTACCACCAGAAAAATACAGTCCTACAGGAGGTCAATCGCGAGCCCAAACAGCTGACTGGTAACGTCTCTGACTGCAGGCGCACTGGGTGACGCGGGTTTGATTCTCAGAAAGGACATGAGGTGTTCCTTCAAGGTGATTGCAGATACGCTTTGCCAACAATGTACGAAACCTAACTTCACTGAGTGTCTCCAACCATATAACAATAACAGTCATTACTTCCTCTAGACTTTTGTTATTCGGAGTTTGACCACGGATTGATATCAGTTAAACAACCATCGAAAACCAGCAGGGAGTACTTGACAGCTGTTTCTTCCTAGTATGGGAATCGTTTGCAGTACGCACCTACCGCAAGGAGTTTGAACCCATTACCTTCCATTTACAAGGCAAGCTCGTATGCCATTCAGTCACTGCGACCCGACTTCTCAATGGCCAGCCAACGAATTCTAACTTCTACCAATTCGCGATTTAGCGTTACCAACAACCAATGTCATCAGGAGGAAATCCATCCTCACTGCCGACTGGATGGACCTTACTTGTCACGACTTCTCACTAGAACTCAATGAAACTCTGTCCTGTAGCAAGTCACTAGCGAGCATTAGATTATTCCATTCGATTTTATTTCGATTCATTCACCAATAGTACTTGTAATTTTACACCATATCATAGTTATTATTTCACAATCATTCTTACTGTCGTTATGTTCAACCTTGAACTTATATCTAGTTCGCCCCATTCGTTGGTTTATTTTCAAACTATCTCAAACACACTGATTACACTCACTCTCGAAACCCGTATTTTTCTGTTGACTATATTTATATATATACACACATCATTAAATTATTTCATCTCATTTTGTCCCATGTTCTCATTGACCATGCATATTAAAAAACTAACTAACTACTGCTCCATCCCATCTAATACGTGTTGCACAATACACTTTCTGATGTGATTCTAATTTGCTTTTACTGGCTGGCTATTGTATGCTTAAATTAATGGATTTATAATTGTAGATCCTGAATACAAATTTTATTGAAGACAATTGTTCGCTCTAACTATTTTATCTTATTTTTATATTTTTATTTAGATATGGTGTCTCTATGTAACCAAAATATGTACAACTTATCTTCAACCCATCATTTGGACAGATTTTCCTTTGATTTACTAGTTCTGGCCTTCATATTGTGTTTTTATGTGTTCCCTTCATGTCTCCCATGTATCTCCACAACGCTGTACCATTTGCATTCTCTGACATCAAATGTATCTTCTTGATATTAGATTTTTATATTCTGACGGACATCTCTTTATATACTACTGCAGTCACCCTCTCACTGATCTATTTAATAAATCTTTTTCCAGTAATATTGTGCCTGCCGTTTGGAAAGACATTAAAGTTGTACCCATACCTAAATCGTCTACTGGAGCATGTGTCAAATTTAGATCCATTGCTATTACCTCTCCTTTTTTGAAAACTATGGAGAAACCACTTTTACTTAATCTTATACCTTCGCTTAAATCCTATAATGACCCAAAATAGTTTGCCTATAAGCGCAGTAGAAGCAGGTGCCGTCTTATATAATAACATTGCTTCCAGTCTAGACAAGGGGGATAAATTTGTCCGTTATATACCTTCAAGTTTTACTTATATTATTTCTATTATATTAATGGTCCTGTTGCTTCTTTGTTTTTACTTTCATAACTGCAAACACCAGCTTATCTTTATGACTGCTGTAATCTTTGTTTTTTCCCACACCATATCATGTAAAGAGAACATCATATTCAATATTTTTAATCATGCAAGGATTTGTATACCGCATCGACAATACTGTGTGAAACAAGCCCACAGCAATTTTTCACTTGTATTATTATCATTATCTTAGCTGCTGTCATTATTATTATTTCCATTTTATATGCTGCATGTTATTTTTTTGATATTACCCCGATTGTAAATGTAGAAAAATTTTCCGTGTGATTAATTTTATTTATAATTTGAGGAAATTAGATGCTGCAATATTGTGATTAATGCTGAAAATTCCATTCTGTATCACAAGTGCTGTTTTTGGAATAAAGTAAATTATTATTATTACTATTACTGATAAACCTTATCAGTAGCAATCGCCGCAATACATCTTAATTTATGTGAACAGGTCAGTTAAATTTACGAATATAGTAGTAGCAGTAGTAGTTATCTGTTAGAAAATGTTAGATGACCCACAGATATATCTTGCCAACTAAGGCGATATAGATTGGTTCTAGAGTCATAATTAAAATACTAATAAACACCGTTCAGATTTTATTAACCTGTTTGATTCATAGTATCCCTTTAATCCAATAGGAGTCATATTAAGGATAAAAAAATTAACATCGGTATATTATGCACACGTATATTGGAATATTGATTCAGAGTTTGCGGCAAATTTAAAAGTAAACAAAAGATGTTGAAACGTTTTTGATGTAATTGTGTTCTCTGAGCTAGATGGATGGTTTATTTACGAAGCTTTCATTGACCTACTAAGCAAATTCTTCAGCATCCATACTTCAATCTGAATTGAAGTGAGCTTATAGATTTATTTCTCCACGAGTTAGTTTATGAGTCATCTCTTCTGGTGAGTGGTGACCTTGAACGTCGTCATTGCTTGTTTTTTGTGTTTTCACACCATTTAGGCTACTTGTGCTATCGGTAGGGATATTGATTGTTTTCTTGACCTGAAGTGTGGCACTTGTGTGTGTGAGAATCCATTCTCATCGACTGGTACAGTTTTTCTGTGTCGATGTTTCTCTTCTGATCATTGATTCACTGGAATACCAGGCGAGCTTCTAAAAATTCTTTAACATTCTTGCTATTTCCTGTGTCTAATATTTGAACGTTGGTTGTCCCAGTCGAATTGGTGTCCGTGATTGTCTGTATGAAGTGTGACAATGTGAGGGAGTGGATGTCATGTGTTTTGACGACTAGCTTATGCTCATAGATGCGAAGATGAAGTGGACATCCACTTTGGTCAGTGTAGTGTTTATCGAAGTCGTAACAATTTATTATGTAGATGATGATGTTGGTTTTATCTTCTTTCTCTGTTGAGTCTTCTGTTTGGTATAAAACCAGTCGAGTGAAGTGATTTTTACTCAAGTATTGGTTTGTAGGGATTTGGTTGGTTGGTTACAGGATTTTATCATGAGCTGACATTGGTTAGTGAACCATTGGAAAACCAGCACTGGAGTAGTGGACAGCTGTTTCGTCCCAGTTTGGGACTCTTCATCAGTACGCACCCACCGGGATTCGAACCCAGGACCTTCTGGTTACAAGGCGAGCTCGTAGGCCATTCATCAGCCACTGGGATCCTATCCAATGGCCCATGAATTCTAACTTCTGCCAATTTACGATTTGGCGCAACCGCTAGCCAATTTCTTCGGCGAATACTTGTCCTCACACCCGACCTGCTGCACCCTACTGGTCAAGACTTCCCACTGGAACTCCACGTATCTACCTACCTGAATAGGGCAAGTCGCCAATGAGCATCTCATTGTTATTCAAGTGTTGGTTTGTAGGGATTTGGTTGATTGGTTACAGGATTTCATCATGAGCTTGCCCTATTCAAGTAGGTAGTAACCTGGGGTTCCAGTGGTTAGTCGTGACCAGTAAGGTGCAGCAGATCGGGCGTGAGGACAAATACTCGCCGAAGACATTGGCTAAAGGTCGCGCTATATCGTGAATTGGCAGAAGTTAGAATTCATGGGCCATTGGATCAGGTCCCAGTGCCTTAACCAGAAGGTCCTGGGTTAGAACCCTGTTGGTGGGTGCGTACTTTCAGGAGTCTCAAACTAGGACGAAACAGCTGTCCAGTACTCCCAGGTTTTCCAATGGTTCTCTAACCAATGTCAGCTCATGATGAAATCCTGTGACGCAGTGAATTTTTTGGTTTGTGT